TTAAGTTGTATTTATAGTACGTTTCTATAATTATTTATATATAATCTAAAATTATAGGCATTACAAATAAAATATTTATTTTGATTAATATTTACTGGTTTATTTCATATTCATATTTACTGTTGTAAATAATGTTAAATTACCTCTTCACAGTTTCTCTCCTGAAGATTACGAATAGACACATTTGTGAGGGACAGAAGGAAATTCTTGATAGATGGTACTTTCTTCCAGCTGACTTGCAAGCACAAATTCACTATCTCTGGAATTAAAGCTAAGTATAGATCACAACGATCCAGATCACCAACCTAAAAATGAGGAAACAAAGGTAAACTGAAGCATTAAGAGGAGGAAGCTTGAACTGAAAATAAAGAAAACAGTAACAATGATAACAGAAGGAAAACAACAGCAGTCATTGCAGTTGAACAATGGTTTTTTTTAATTTTGGAGGTGGGGGGTGGTTTATTATTTTAAGTCTTTTCATCTTACAGGTTCTTTTAGTTTTAGGGCTCTGGAGTATGCTTTAGAAGAGATGGTGCGAAATTCTGAAAGAAGTCTCCACTTCTTTTAATTAGTAAGTTTACTTAACTTCTCCTCCCGGGCCCAAAGGAATACCATGTAAAAACACCTAAGCTAGCTGGAGTATCAGAAGCAGCATTCAAAGCCAACTCAGTTACTGGAACATGGCACAGCACTGCATCCCGTACACACTGAACGGTGCACCTTGCACTTCTTCTCCAACTACATTTTATCTCATGGCTATATCTTGCTTGTTTTATGGCTTTTTATTCTCCTCTTGTATTTGCAACTTTTCTCCACGTATCATAAAAAACACCCCTGTGTAAAGCCATGCACTCAAGGAACCACATGAAGAAAGAACTTTTCCTTCTTTAGTTTTGAGAGAAAATACACCTTTGAATTTTCACTTACCTTCAGAAGCCATTCTCCTGATTCAACCCTAACTTTTGCTTTAATGCAGGACCACTTTTCACATCCATCTTCCATTGCACACATGTTGTGGGGACTGTCCACTAACAGATTTATTTTCTTTCCTTGCATTTCCCCTTCAATTTGTACTTTCCATACTGTTTCTGACAAAACAGCCCAGAGCCCCATGCTCCTCTCCAAGTCTCCACCCTTGCAGAGACACATTTTCATTTCCCCTCCAACCTACAGACTTTTTTCATGCTCCCAAACACAAGAAGTGAATTTGACTTCTATGCATTATTATTTATGCACACTTGTGCATATAGCTTTCTCCATGAAGCTTAAACTGTTTTTCTTTTCTAAACTCACTCTTCACTAAATAATTCTAAAAATGCCACTTTACATTTTGTCCATCCCCTCATTACAGTTGCCTCTTCCTTTCCAATCCTTCTGGTCTTCTCCCTTCTTCCCAATAGTCTATCCAAATGCAGTCGACTAAATTAACAACCTTTAAACTGATGTCTTCTCCTTAAATGTTTATTTTGGTTTTCTGCCTTTTATGATATAAAATTAAAGGTGACACAATTAAAGGTCACAATTAAAAGAACTGTGAAGATCTTACAACTTCTCATTTTCTCTTACTCTATATCCTTCTCTTGAAACTCCTAATCTATTTTTTACCTCTCTTTCAGAGTTCCTACCACACATTTTGTTGAGCTTTTGAATTTTGAGAATTAGTCTCCTTTTTAACTTCTACCAATCCTTCTTTCTCAAATTGTTTTTCTTCCAAAAATAACATCATTCTCCTGATCATTACATTCTAATTCCTCTTCCTCCATCTGGAAACATGTGTAAGTGTTTTGCTTTACGTGTCTTGTGTCTTTCTATTTACATGACTTAAAAGCTCTTTTTAGAGTAGGAAACATGTACCTCCTCTCTCTCTAAAAAGCAGTGCATTTCTTTCATACATTCAACAGGGTATTTTTAAAGAAGTCAAACTCGTCTACCATCAAGTCATTTACCTTCAAAAGTCACAGATTTCTTTGGGTATAAACTTAAACACTGGCCACAGCAAAGAGCAAACAGTGGAAGATAAAGATGTTAACCAGGCTGAGTACTAAAGGTCTCCAAACATCTTATGTCCACAACTGTACTAGCAGATACAATACAGTACAATATGATACTCTATTTCTTACTATATGATTTCTTCAGACTTAAGAAACAAGGAATATGGACTACAGACACTAAACACTACTTGTCAAGACACCTTTTTTTTTTTTTTTGCTGTATTCTTACTGTGGCCATCCAAAAAAAAAGTGAACAGAAGTGTTTCTATGCAAATTGATTTTCTAGGTGTTAAAAGATTTGGTGTGAAAACTAGGAACACTGGTAAATCAAATTACAAGCAAAACCACACCGAAGTAGGTCTCATAATAAACACTTACAGTGCTTAACTCATTTGTAGTAAGCCGTCGGAGAACAAATTCAAGAATACTCTCCACAGGTGTCATTAGAGATTTCCAGATAAAAAACAATACCCCATCTGTGTGAAGAGAAAAAAAAAAAATTAACATACCGAAATAAATTTCTTAAGGAAAGTGTATCATATCATGCAGATTTAATGAAGTTACAAAGTTATACAGCAATAAGTATTCAAATACCTAAGAATACCTTAAAACCTCTCTGTACGCTTCAGCATAGGGCTGAAAGAATCAAACCAGATTATATTCTCTCCTGACATCTATGATGAATTAGTGAACCAAAACCCAGACAAAACCAGAAGACCAAAGTATAATTTTCCAACTTTTAATGCACACTTTCGTCCTATTCCCAACCCTATGCACACAGCTTATGAATGAACTTACTTTTTAATAAAGAATAAAAATTTCCATATCCAGCAATTATTGTGTGTGAGAAAAATGCAGTTATCCATTTCTAATACGTACAGAAGTGAAAACTGGTTTTTGGTTGGGTTTTTTTTTTTCTGTTTAGAAATAATTAAGCTTTGTATATAGAGTAATTGTACAAGATTTCATTCAAGTAGCTTCCTGGCTTAACGTTGCAAACAAAAATGCAAGGTTGTAACACAAAATGCGATACTTTCTGTAAGAAAAGTTTAAGCTACAAAGTATACCACATGTGCAGAGCATTTCACAATCAAAAAGACACAAGTTTATTACACAAAGGAAGTAGGTCACTCTGGTAAAACATATTTGAACACAACCACACTTCAATCTGTGCTTCAATGGTAAGGGCTAGCTGTAAGCCAAAGAAATAACGTATCAATATGAAAATGGAGTCAAAATACTCTGCACGACCATCTTGTTCTAAAAATATCAGTCATTAGTTTCAGTATTTAAGAGAGTTACCCAGAGGTTATACCTGCTGTTTTTTTCTGGAGTTGACCCTGAGTTAATTTCGTATACCGAAATTACTTCAAAAGGGAAGACCTTCAAAAGCTAGAAATACAAAGGGACATATTTCCAGACATTCCAAATCTGTATTGCACTTACTTTCAATGTTCTCTATTAAAATGGCTCACTGGACTGCATTTCTAACGCTTAATCTGTTCAGAATAAACTGTTTAACTATGTCAGATTATTCTCACATCTCATCATAAGTCTCAAATCACTAAAACATCTTCTGCAATTAAAATTCAGAAATTCTTCAGATAAACATGTAAGACAGTGAAATACAATTCACCACCAGTGGCTCTGTAATGCTATCAAAAAAATAATTAGCAAAAACTTACTGTTTAAAACAGTGAAGTCTAACAACAGTACAGACAGCAAAACCTGTAGAAAAATGCTGCTGCTTTCAGCATGCATTGCAGACATGTCTATCCCCTTTAAAGCATGCTTAAATAAAACACTTCCCAATTATTTTTGTTTTACAAGCTTAAATTCCTTTCTTCTTCCCTCCTATTTTATCGTTTTCCATTTGATAGACAGGACTTTTCATCTCCTGTTTAATCAACACAGAAACAAAACTTCTGTATTTTACAGCACTACTGTTCCTGCCCCTCAGCACAGTCAATTCACAGCTGCAGAAACAAGATTTATAACTTGGCTCTCCTGTGCAGGAGGAAGCAGCACAAAAACGTTGTAGGAAATAATATAAGAAAAATAATCCTTGTTTAACTTAACACAAAAAGAAATAATATTACAAGTTCAGTTCTGAAAGCCTCTTGAAAGACTCTACTGATAATGAGCTGTACTGGAGCACCCATGGGGACGTTCAAATGGACAGAAACACTATGATGCTCAGCCTTGCCATGCCTCAAGAACTCTGTTAGCAGAACTTAAAATGTTAAGTCAGGTATCAAAATTCTCAAGGCAGGAGCAACTGATTATACATCTACATTAGCAAGCACAGTGGCAGATAAGGAAATGATTTACAGAGCTAAATATTTGATACTAAAAACATGTGCTCGCACGCGTTTTGGAGGGTTCTGCTTCAGGCTTGCTCTAGCCTCATGCTGTGGACTGAATGCACACTGGCAGCTGGGGCATGTCTTCCAGTCTAGTTTCACCTGAAGGAATCCACTTCAGCAGTCAGAGACCACCCCACAATATGAACTTTAACAGTCTGCATAATTAGTGTTCAGTATTTCAGTCAAACAGCTAAAATTCAAGAGTGGGGTGACTGTTTAAAGCACTTTTTAAAATTAGATTAAGCAGTTACTTCAGGGCTGCATTTAGACATCTTTATGAAACCTGGATGCAGAACCTGAAATAATTTTTTTCCATCTAAGAGCCTAGACCTGTGGCTCCTGCTCCAAAACTACTCTTGTATTTCGTGTTATAAAAATACTGAAAAAAATCCGAAAACAATTTGGGGAAGCAGAAACCAAATGCCAAGATCCCTCTTGTTCCAGTTCAGTATCCTAATTCATGAAAATAATGCAATTTTTCACTTGCTCTCAGGAAAAAATTCTTGTTAGGAACTGAACAAGTTCTAATAAAAGTAGTAAGGACTCCATAGGTTTTGTTCAGACTCTCCTAAAAGGTCTACAAGTTAAAATGCTCAATTTGTGGGGGGCCAAATCTCCTAGTCAGATAGATCATCAGGCTTGAGTTTAAGTGGGCACCTCTTAACTACCTTTCTTTTTAACTAAGGTCAAATTGAAGCAAGTCACTTAAACATGCCTAATACTGTGAAATAATCAGAGGCACCCTGTCTTTTGCAGTCTAAACAGTGTTAGTCAAGACAAACGTTATCTACCAGGCAACTCAGAAAATAGTACGTCTAGCAGGATCGCTTTCTGTGATCAGGGAAGGCTCTGGCTGAACCTGGGGCAACTAAGCAGGTTAGGCTGGGTTTCTGTACTAACTTCTTTTTGAAGTGTTTAAATGATCTATGGAATCCACATGCTGGCAAAGAATACGCCTATAAATATTTGTAATAGAGTCACACTCTCCAAATTTTAACTTACTGCTAATCTAATCCTAACAGGTAACTGCATTCTCAGAGAGCTTCCACATTCTCAATTCCCAGTCCTTGGGACACCTTCAGAAGACCCCTGTAGGATTGGACTCACAGCTCAATTTCGTAACAGATACGCCAGATTGCCAACTTTTACATGTACCACTTCTAGGCTAGCAATAATTTGACAATATAGTCTTAAAACATTAAGTACCTTAGTTTTAGTTAGACTATAATTAATATAAAACACAGTATACTGAAGATATCACTAACCATCTTGTGTATTGGAACATTTTAACGAACGGGTCTGCAATAACTTCAAGAGAAGCTGTAGGCTTTTATCTGTTTTCAGTGTTGGTATGTAAGCATTACTGCCAAGTTTCATCAAGACATCCAGAAGAGGGTTCAAGAAAGCCTCTAGTTCAATCCATTCTATGTTGCTTTTTCCACTACACAAAAACAAAAATTAAAAAGAAAGTCTCCTTCTGAGTATCTGCCTCAAGTGCTGAAGTCACTTATGGAAATAAATAGGACACATGTTTCCGAGTCACTTAAGTATCTTTAGAATGTTACCCAGTATGTTTGCAGCAACAGTTGGACAAGGTCTAAGGAATGATCAGGCAGACCAAAGTCTACAGAGAAAAACGGACAACTTCCTGACTTGATCAGGCTTCTACTGGATCCTTCAGGAGTAGAGGGGTTGAAAAAGAGAGAAATGTAAACCAAGGTATTTCATACTTACCTGTATTTGTTCCTCATCTGCTCCACGTCTGCAGCCAACACAATCACTGTTGCGACAAGCTTAGCTTCAAACCAGTCAGGCATAAAGGAATTTTCTCCTGATTAAAGATATTTTAAGGTTTCCACAGTATTTAAAAAATACCTTCATATTAGTTTTTAAAACTTTTGTTTTTAGAACTTATTAAAATAAATTAGTAGTATAACAACAATTAATGCTAACAAGAATATTACTACTAACTTTTTGCGTTCATCTATCTAGATACAAACTAAACTCAAACACAATTGCTTTTCTTCTACACCTCAAAGAGGCTAATCTCATTGGCCTCTATGCTGAAATCAATTTTAGACAATGTGTTATATGATGTAGTACCTCCCAACAGGCTTTTCTATTGCTTTTAAAAATACATTAGCATATTCAAATTAAGTTAACCAAGAACATAATTCCACTATGCTTTGTCTGAAACATCAGCTGTGATTTTGACCAGCTAAAAGTTATATGAAGAACTAAAACTATTCTGTCAAAAGGAAATTAAAAAAAACCCCAAACTAACTGAAGTTGCTCTTTTCATCGATCTTCTATGTAGGACCACTTCATCATAGTTATAGAATTGTTTCTTAAGTAGTAGTACATATGCTGGGTTTAGGGTTTTTTGACTGGTATGGTTTTGGCTTTGGGAATTTAGAAAGCAAAACACACTCTGGAGGTCCAGTTCAAGCAGCTGGACATGCTTGATTTTTTTTCTACTCTACAGAACTGCTTACAAGCTAAGATTCAAATTGAACCAGAAGATTACAAACGTAACTTTTTAGAAGTGAAACACAGATGTTTGCCATGGAATTGCAGATTATATAGACCAAGGACTAAACAAACATTTTGGGAAGGAGAGATCTGCCAAAATATTTAGCAAAGCATTTACCTTGGAATATCAATAGATGAAATTTGCTCTCAACTTTTCTAACCATAGTACAATCAAGTGAAGTTTCCTGGGGCACAGGAAGCTTCTGAAGCTATTTATCATTAGCAAATTCAGACCTAGCTTTTATATCTCATATAGTTATAATATTTTAAAAGTGTTCAGTTTTGACTTTTGACATTACAAAACTATATAAAATTCACTACGATCGCAGTACTTAAGTAGCAAAGAAGTGAGTGCCACACAAAGTTAAGGTATTCAAAAAGTCAATTTGCCACTCCTTTCCACATACCTGAAAGAAAATTCTGCACTGAAGTTATAATAATTTAAAATGTGGCAGTGAACAAAGAAGTCCTTTCACAATTTATCTGTATATTGACACAGCATACAAAGAACCTTCTTTTGTTATAATGTGTGGCAGCTCATCTGCTGCAAGCAGCCCGAGATCAAAAGAACATCACTATGTGGGAAGGTGTGCAATGAGCTGCCAAACTGCGTAACTATATGGCATCTCTCTCCATAAATATACTCGGTCATTTTACAAACCTCTGCTGAGAAAGGCTACAGAACCTGTATCTATTTACATTCCCTTGTGCTTTCCTCTGCCCCCACAGTCCAGTATTTTCAGGCACCACTAAAAAGATAACAAAAGAAATCTAATGGACAAGCATCAGCGCAGCATTGAAGTTGAGTATTAAGGCTTAATTTCAATTAATACTGCAGGACTGCATTTTACGAAGGAAAACTAGAATTAGAAAATAAAGTTCAAACCTAAGAATTGTGAATACCACAAGTCAGACTGAATATGAATAGGTAAAACATAAATAAACAAACAGCTCTTCTAAAATCCAGAGGATGTTTGTAATTTTATACTTAAATTACCTTCCAAAATCTTTTTATATTAATAAACGTTTAACTTACTTTCAGATGCTGGTGTCTTAAGATACTCTCCCACAAGACTGTGTACATATTGACACAAAGATGATGTCTCTTGACATTCAAAACCAGAGGTTATTGACTTTCTGAAGCATCTGTCATTCACTTGTAACCAACTGCAAAGCTAAATTAAAACCAGTATGTTACTATTTAACCGTACTGCCAGTTCTGTAGTGACATTACCAACACAACAGCTCACTACAGCACTGTTAAATCCACACCGTGAGAAGTATTAACTGGAGCTACCCTTGAGGCTTAGCAGACTACTCCCCGCTAATTAATATAGCAAAAGGTTCTTCTAGAGAGTAATTCAGAGCACCCAAAAAAATATTCTTGGGACCAATATAACAAAAAAAACCCCAGCTTTTAAAAATAAGCAAGATGGGTAAAAAATTTCCCTCAAGTCAAAAGGGCTTCCTACAGCCAAGTGTTATCTAGTGAGAGCTGCATTTTTGTTTTTTTTAACTTTTATGCCAAAAATCAACAGAGCAGGATGAAATGTAGAGCACAGAGAACACAAGGGCACTGCCAGTGCTGGGTTCAACCAAACAACATGCAAATGAGAGGCAGCTCTTACACAGTTTTTTTGGCCCATATACTGGCCCATTCAGAGAGTCTCAGGATCCACATTAGCTCGGAGAATAATTTCAGGACTAAGAGAAAGGGGAAACATGCACCATACTAGCAGATTATCCCTCTAAAGACAGCGCAAGCTTACAAAATAGTGTTCTTTTCCATCAAATGAAATTTTACAACAGGGAGTTGAGTGGAAATGAGAAGGAAGTAGCCAAAAAGAGAATAGATAAGATAGACAGAAATAACTGCCTGTAGAATCTGATGAGCAAGAGCAGCTTCAGCTGAAGATGTTACATCCACCTGGTATCCTTAACAGAAGTAGAGAGAGAAGCCAAAGTCATGGCTCTGTGGATTCCATAAGATGCCCTGTTTCACACTCCCTCCATGAAGCTACCAACCATGTAGAGGCATGAGCACGGATCCCTGACAGAAGAGATTACAGATCCTAGTACAGGCTTACCAATAGCGATTTTAGTTCCCACAATCTTGGCAAAGGATACAGAAGACTAGGACTGTGACAAACACACAGGAGTCTCCTAAAAGACCAGTATTCATGGACCAAAAGTCTGAGTAAGACCCGATTCTGATTTGCATTTCAATACAGTTACACACAACAGCTGCAATACCAAGATGAACTCTAGGAAACACAATGAACTGGGGCATACAAGCTCTGAAGGAGTTAATAAAATCCCTCTGTCTCAAGAAAGAGCTTTTTTTTCTGCAGAATTGAAAATTTCTGCATGATGAAAGAAAAAGTCATTATTTTTCTCCCCACCCACCTTACCTTCAACCACCTCAGAAGTCTTCCACTTTGAATCTGCCGAGTAGTTTGTTTAGGGTTAACATTAACACCTCTATAGCATTAAAAAAAAAAACCAAAAACAAAAACCCACCACCACAGCTTTCAAGTGAAACATAAGTCTATCAGGACTCCACATCCAGAAATTCCAGAATGTACCAATGCAAAAGTAGCTAACTATTTAAATATTAAATTAGCAATAATAAATCACACATCTGTATAGGTATTCAAAAACATTTGAGAAACATAAAACCAACTTCAGTTCTCACCTCTATCCATAACATAGTATCTCTCCTTAGGGACTCCTCTGGTCTAAGGGACAGAAGAAAGCTTGCCACTTCTGGGAGGGACACCTTCTCCTGAAGAAATAATCAAGACACAATAGTTGCCAACATAATAAACAACAGATAACATCTATATAACAACTCAAGAAGTTTACTGTCATCTGGCAAAAGTTTCAGAAAAAGAAACTGACTTTTTCCTTTCTATGACACAGACTCATTTTTGCCTCCTTGGGACCAACTTACCTTTACCAAGGAACACAATTAAATTTTCCCAAGCATTAAAATCTATCTGAAAGTTAATGACTAGAAGAATAGTGCTATTCACTGATGACACCTTTTAAATGAATGTACATAAATGAATAAGAGTCACTGCTAAGTACTATCTCTGTATTTCCAAAAGGAAATTCTCCTCAGAGAAGTTTATAGCCATAACAGAGAACATGGAAGACAGTCTACTTATCTAAAAAGCAAGCATGTTACAAGACAACAAAACATGAATACTTCGACTACTGAATAATTAAGGTCTTGCTATTTCAACATTAATGGTAGTTTTAGCATTCTAGTATTATGAATACTTCTATTCTCTTAGGTATTTCAGAAAAGTCCATTTAGTTTCTATCTGTTAAAACCCGAATTTATACAGTGGATCTCATAACAGGATACTCTTCCATAACTATTGCATGAAAACCCTACAAGGAACCATCAGCTAATAAGATGTATTTTTTTTCACTACCTTTTATGAAAACCAAAGTTAAAAGAAGCATACCCATACTTACATAGTACAATTTTTTTTAAGTAGTCACTAAAAAAAAATTGCAAATCCAGCAAAATCAATTGTTCCATATTGTATTGAGCAGTTTTTTGAATCCTGTTTACCCTATAAAAGCATTAGTGTATTTCTGTTACGCCAGGAAGAAAAAAAAAACCCAAAACACAACACTAAACTCACCACATCTGTCAAATGCATAGCTGTTTGAAGAAGATAGCACTGAGCAGCTCCACGCAACAAAATCTGATGTGTAATCATAGTACACTGGAGGACATCTCTGGAAAGAGGAAAAATATACACTGTAGAAAACACACACTTAAGAATTTTAAGCATTTTCATGTATTTACTAATTATTAACCATTTTCAATATATTAGATTATATTTAACAAACATATTCTACTAAGTATAACACAATCACTGCCTGATCAGACAGCATACAATCCAGAACCAAGACTACTGCTATATGTACTTTCAAAAACTGATATTAAAACTTGGATAAGCATATACCTCACAAAATAAAAAGCATGGGGGGGAAGCAAAACAAAACCAAAACTGAAGGAGCAATCCCCATGATCACATCAGCTCAAACTGATAATTTAATATTTGCATTTCTATCAGAATGTTTGTCATCAAGTTCTCACTCTAGCACAAACTTAAAAGAAACCTTCAACGCTCTTCTATCAGCAGAGGTGTGTGACTTTTTTTTTTTTTGGTAAATTACTTTTATCCAATATTCCTTCAACCACCAGTAAGATTTTATTTCAAAGCTCAAATTCGATTAAACTAGAATAATTACTGATTTTAGCAGCTCTAGGAAGTGAAAGCAGATACTTAGGAAACATCAGCGTAATTAAGGACAACACACGTGCCAAGAACTTTTACCTAGCCTTCTAGTCTTTCAGTTTTAAATTTTCTGGGCTGTCTCCTGATATAGCCTCAACTGCCATTAAACAAGGTTTTAATGTAATTAGAAGAAAAGGAAGAAGTTCGATGTTAGAAGTATGGATGACAAGGGAAAAATGATGCCAAAAAAGAAGCAATGACAAAGGACTGAAATGGAAAACAGTCTTTTTTTTTTAAGTCACACAGAGATATAAATACATTGGTTCTTAAATTGCTTTCCTTTGTGAATTAGACATAAAGGAGAGAGAACCTTCCATTTCCATGCACAGCCATCACATACTCCCAGAACAAACATGAATTAAATCCTGGCTCTCCAGATGATCAACACATTTCTTTACAAGAGGTCTGTAAGAACACAATGTAGTGTACATTTTACCTTAAAGCATGAAGTCCTTCAGTGCCCAGTACTTTACATGCAGGGATATATGCCAGAGCCATAGAAAGAAACAAAATGGGAACAGCACACCAATGCCTACTTGTCATCTTCTGAATAAATTTTAACAGGAAACTACCTTAAAATAAAAGTAAAGAAAACAAAGAATCCGGAGTGATTTCTTGTTCTCCAATGCATTTAAATGACACAGACCCCAGCAGGGAGTGTTATGATCACTTCTGACAATTAAATGAAAGACAACAGAATAATTTCCTAATTATGTCAATGAAAAAAAGTACATTCCAAAGAATTCTGTCAGTATGATAAAGAAATAACCAGAAATAAACCTAATTTTGGCTTTGGTGATCTGCACTAATCACCATATTCAGTAATGGAATTTTAACTCCGATTGTTTCGAGTACTAGACAATGCCTTTTTTAAGGTGCTACTCAGTCTGTGTGACGCCAGACCAGAGTACACAGCATTTCAAGCAGTTTAATGGATGCTGGCATGGCCAAAGCAAGCCTCAACAAGACACCACAGTTACAATTCGTAGAAGCAGGTCACCCAGTCTCAGGGATGCTAATCACAGACCCTCCATTTTGTGATAAAATATATGCCTTGGGACAGGGCAGAGAAATAGGGCATCTATGGCACTACAAGTATGTAAGGTGTTTCCTACCAGAATATGTACCTGTAGATACAGGATACTGAACAGAGCTGGTTCTACCTTTATTTAATCCAATTAGACCAGATATTAAATTCTGGTCTGTCAAAGGTTGCTCCTTCTTTTCAACCTACACTAACACCAAAATTTGGAACAATCTCGGAAATCCTCCTCCATTCAACCTCACAATAAAAGAATCCTTTTTCACCTTCTGCTTCAGCACTTGGACTGGCTCTTTTGAATGCCCAACTACACAGGTTGTAACTAAAAAAGTCTGGCAGATAGGTTAAAAAAACCCACCAAACCCAAACCAAAAAACCCACACCAAGACCGCCCAGAATCCCCAAAACAAACAAAGAATAGTTCTAAGGATTTTTTGCTCCACTCAGTATTATCTACGCTGACAAATAAAGAAAAAAGAAGCTGCAAATACTGTTCACCTTCAGAACTTAGGAGTTTGGTTTTTTAATAAAAAAAAGTCTGCTTCAGTTTGCCCCTAAAACAACTTTGTATCCCTCAAGGCCTCTGAAGACCTCTCTCTTCTCTGGAAACTGCATCGCCACAAGGAGAGCTACTCTTTTTTTGTCTCAAGTAATGTAGAAAAATAGTGGTAAATGTTTACACGAGATACAGAAAATGGGTCCCTAGTTTTTATTTGGTTTCTTTATTTAAAAAAGGTAATGGTGAAATTGAAACATACCTTTTTCTTCCTCTGGAAGAAGCATGAGATAAGTAGCCAAAAACTTCTGTAGTCTCATTCCCAAAGGAGGACAGGCTCCCATTAGCTGACCTGGTGTCCTGTTGGGTTTTAAAACATCAAATACACAACCGGCATGCTAACAGCTACAAGTAGTATTATCAGTATTATCTACGCTGACAAATAAAGAAAAAAGAAGCTGCAAATACTGTTCACTGTTCAGACTGGGGATATGACCAGTCTGACCTGGAGAGCAGCAAATACAAATTACCTACACAAGTGTGCTAGGGAGCAAGGATTTCTCCCTGGAACAGGTTATAAAGTCAGTATAAACAAAACCACTGACCAGCTCAGAAGGTTTTAAGTAAAGATGCAAGAAACCCTCCATGAGACCAACAGAGACAACCTGTGTCCTACCAGAAGGCTCAGGATCCTGGCTATCAAGGGTTAGCATCAGGCAGTCACGAGATTTTACAGTTTTCTCTCATATAGCTTAACACGAACCGTAACAACTTTGCATATTCTTGGTACACTCAAACATGCACTCTCCTCTACACACACCAACATGTTTCACCAGCAATATAGAAGCTAAGGGAGATGATTATGAAGCAGCTATCCAACGCAGCTCTAACATACACACCAAAACACTCAGCACCTGCTTCAACTTCTGACCTCCTATCAACGCATGCCCACACAAATCATAGTGCAGCCAGCTGACTGGGATGAGAAACATGAACTGCTGCAAGAGCCCCAAGAGGTCTCATTTGTCCTGTCCTGTTTAGATGAAACAACTTATTTTGAGTATGCTTTATCCAGATATCCAGACCCACCAAATCCAAACTTATCACCAGTTTGATGAGTGACAGCCACATTCCCCTCCCCAAAACTGCATAAATAGACAGCGTCAACTTTTCTAGCTGCCTAACAAGGTCAGCCAGCCAAGGCTACTCAGGCACTGTTCTAAATGGAGTTTCAGATTGCTAGCTGAAGCATCCAAGCCATTTCATATGGCATATGCTGAGTGCCTAAAGTGCATTCATACTCTCCATGCAACTAGCACAAAGGACTGAATGCCATCAGTACACTGAATGTACAGCAACTGGCAGCTCCTCAAACTTGTATCTGCTCTTCATGTATTTACACCAAGGGAGGCCACTGTCATTTCTCAACATCAAACAGTCTCCTGTGAAAAAGTATTGATTTCCCAAAAGATAATCAGGCACTGCCAAAATCCCACTTCTATCTGTTATGATGTGGCAACTGTTAGAGCAGCCCCTTCTTTCTGTGTGGCAAGATAATCAGAAGATTAAAAAAATACTTCCCCAAGTAATGAATGAATAACTATTCGTTTATCATATCTCACTTCATTTCCAAATTAGTATTTCAACACCAGGTGTAAAATAGGCCCTTGAGGCATCCCTGTGTTGCTATTACTGGGGTAAAATTGAACCCACTTCATCCTACTCACAGCCACCCACCTTTCCTGAAAAACTCTTTACCTGTCAGAGAGTTTAGCAACACCATTTGTTTGTAAATGTGTTTTCCTTTACCCAAGATTTTACCCACATACTCTAACCAGTATTATTAGAATACATTTCCCATTTCCCCATAATTGATAAATTAAAAAAAAAAAAATTATTAGTGGCTTACCTGCTGTAGAGGGAACTTTCTGAGAGGGCATCCATTAACGGTCCAATAACAAACTGATAAAAGGAAACAAGAACAATGGCTAAATGTACACTTGCAAGGCACTGTTACATAAAGGCTAATTAGCATTATTTCACCAGACTTTAAAAGGACAGAGTCAGAAATTAGAGAACACTCTTGACTAGAGGCCAACACAAGTAGAAAGATTTAGGGTGTGTTTTAAGGTTGACTGGATTTCAAGTTAGTCACCAAGAGGCTGACTTAATTTGTATAAATCAGAAATGTTAACCTCTGAGGGCAGCGGTCCTTCTATGAGGGAGAGAAGGAAGAAATAATAGTACAAAATACATCATTCCTTACTAAGGCGTAGGCTGGCTGGGGAGTCAACCTACATGCGATACTAATAAATAAAAAAATTAAGAACTTTAAACTTACAATATTTCTTCCCACATATGGAATATTTTAAAGCGTGGGTTTTAATGGGATACAGTAACATACTGATTATACTACAGAGACATTCACCTCCTCACAGGGTTATCTAGCAGTGGATCTTCAAAATCCATCCTTGAGAAGGAGACACTATGCACAGACTTGAAGTCTGTTGACCAGGTTTATCCAAGACCCCATTCAATCAATCAATATTAATAATTTTTGGAGAGGTTCAAGGGCTCTGAAAATCTGAAGCATCAGTCATCCCCCTCAGAACTTCACTTCTGGAAACAAATTTCAATACGTTGGGAGCTAACACTAATTAAAGAGCATTAGTTTGAAATATGGGAATGAATGACTACACTCAAAAATGCATTCCCTCTAGCCTGGCCATTTTTCAATTATATATTTGATACCACTCACAAATATTGCTATCACTTGGACAGCTAAATAAGAGGGTACCTTTATAGAACATAGCTAATTCCAACACTACTGAGGCAATTAGTGTTAAGATATATTACAAATTAGAGTACCTGTATATTCTGGCAAGTAACAGCAACACCCTTACCTCCGAAAAACCAAGTGCATTTGGAAGATGCTTTGTTTCATAAAGCTCCAGAAAATGAAGAATGCCTTCCTTGGTCAATGTTTTATTCTCGCTCTCAAACATTCGTTTATAGATGCACATGTGCCACGATGGGTGAAACAACCAGCAACCTGTTACAAAGGCAAATTCTTCTAAATTGACACAGAAATGACAGTGATACATTAACATACTCTTTATGCAACACTATGTTTTAAGGAAATTTATCAAACTAGCACACAACGTATTGACATTCTGGATAACATCATAGGCAATACATAAGATATTTTAAAAAGACGATTATAGCTATAAGATTTACAAAAACACCCTGCTAAATTTACAATACAATTAAAAAAAATTAACATGGGTTTCAAAACTTACCCTCTGAATTTTAGTAGTTCCAAATTAAAATGACCGACAAATACAAAAAACATGTTCCCTTTTCCTGCAACTCTCCTTGTCCCAACATTGTATTCACCTGCAATGCTCTCACATTAAGTCTTCCTACTTTACAAAATCTTTGAAATTTAACTTCTAACATCTTGCACTACCAAATTAGATGTGCTCCATTTTGCCCTACAAAAGATCACATTACATCTTTCACCATGCTGTCTCAGCACTCACTTTATTTCTTCTCTCCCCACTTCCAATGAGGATTTTATTCCCTCCCGCCCTTTACAGCTGGGCAGGTGACTTGGCTCATAAGACCTACCCCTAAGAATCTCTGGCCTTCTTTTATTTTCACATTAGCTCAAGTAAAACAATGCACAGTGGAAAAGGACCATTTAGTTGGGTTTGTCGACAGAAAAGATATTTCATGGTAACTTAATAAACTATAAGCATATGCTAGGATTTCTTCTCGTTGCAGCTCAGAGCAGAGCAGCACTGCCTGCCATGTTTGCCAAGCCATCTATGCATGTAGCACATCCACAACAACTGGAATAGCCCCCCAGAAAACAGCTAATCTGAGAAACAAAACACAACAAAAAGCTGCTGCTAGAACAGTAAAGAAGAAAGTGTGACTTAGCTGCCTAACATTTAGGAGATGTTTCAGAGAAGTTACG